GCTTTGAACTTAACAATAATAAACAGAATTCTTACAACTGCACGCCCACTAAAAATGTAATTTGATAGTAAAGGTTTTTTTAGAAGCTTGAATCGATTGATCAATTTTTATGTGGAATAAATTTTATTTTTTTGCAATTCCTAGAAACTAGAGCAATTTTGACATACTAAACAGAATCATGTAATCCAATGAAGCGTTGAGTTTCTACATATCACATTCCTAGCACATTCCTAGCTATTATATTAAACCTTTTCTGAAAATTAATAGAACATTTGAACCTTGTTATTGCTCATTTTTTGTCTGAGAATGATGACGGTTAGTTATAAAAATGTAGAAATATTCTATTGGACCGATTAAAATATAGTTCGAAACGAATCTAACTAGAATTTGCTTTATATAGGACTTTTCTTTTTTACGTACAGGCTGGCAAAATTATTATGTTGTTATGAACTAAAACACTATCTTAATGATTTGAGGGTTAAACGTAAATGGGCTCATTGTTACAGACAATATCTTAAAATACGAAATTTTTTTCGTCGGATTTTAGTTCTCGACCCTCAAAATATGAGGTGTAGTTGAAAACTGGAAAATTTAGTCCAGTTTAGACAAGTCGAAAATTTATACCCCTTAAAGATCGGTTAATTTTCAAGAAAACGGTCATAAAAGTGCCTATTTTGCCAAATACACGTATTTGATTAGTGCTGACATCTAGTTTAAAATAAACTATCTACAATTACCTTAAAACTATCCTGGTACTGCCATCTGTTGTGTAAAATGAGAAATAAAATGTCCGGGAAACAGAAATGAATTAGATTTATTATTATTGGCGCGTTACCACTGAACATTCCAGCCCGGAAATTTCACGGGAGCGAGAAATAGAGGGCGAAACCTCACCCCGTCATTTTCACGGGAGCGAGAAGGAAGGGGTTAATGTTAATTTCATTTTTTGCCTGCTTCGTCAAATTTCCGGAACAAATGAAGCGAATCAAAAAAAAATTTACACACAATTATGAAACTTATTCAAAGATCTGTCTCAAAAGATATTTTAACTTTTTTTCACGACCAGTAGTAATAAATCCAAGCTATCTAAATGCTGAATTTATTCTGTATTTTGCATGTTTTTGATGTAAAATTAAAAGTAAAAACTGTTGTGTATTGAAATCAAAGAGCGATCGGTCGTCAATTTTTTTCCTTCAAACGAAGCAATCTCAATTATCCGATGAGTCTGTAGTAGTACTACTAAACTTTCCTGTTCTGTAATTTTTTTAATAACAAGTGACGTTTTCATAGTTAAATCGTGGCCTTTCTCAATACAGAAGCCAATCAGGTTTGGCACACTCGCGTGACGTCGCTTTCAGGTATCCAGGAAGCGCGCTAAGGATTTCAAATTATTAGCCAGTATAGCCAAATATCGAAAGTATTCGCCATTTCGAAAGTCTTCGCCAAATGCAAATCCTAACAATTCTTCGTGATTAATTCTTTCCCATAGAAAACTATTTTACTGTAGTTTGTTTTAGGCTTATATTATTTGGACCCAATTCTAATTGGTTATGCGGCGCATCTCCCGAAAATTGCTGTAATCGAATAAAAAATACTGATCTGTTTAGAAAAATTAATTTTGGCGTAATTTTTATTCGTTTCCAGTGGAAAAAATCATTTGGCAATACTTTCGCCAAAATACAATTTTATTCGCCAAAAGTACGATTTTATCGTATTTGGCGAGGAGGCGAATGCTTAGTGCGGGCCCTGGATATTCAATGAACCCTGATTTAAATCTCATGGTTCGGCATAATCTCTTCACTTCTTCTCGAGTCGCAAATACCTAATTTCTGATTTCCTATTTGATTTTTAAATTACATGTTGATGAAAGATATGCGTATAAATATATAATAAAATGATATAAAATAATCGATATTCAATAAAAATTGGCATTTTCTTTGCATTAATTATAGTGTTTCATTTGTACTCGGCATAAGTTGCAATCACTGTTAGACCTTTGACTTCTGTTTTTTTATATCTGGTGTAAAGAAAAATTGCTTAGAAACTAGTAAAAATGTTTGAATGGGAAAATATGATATAGTGTGCATTAATTGTATTTTATGCAAGTTAATGAATTCGTAAATTTTGCTGCATTGTACCTCGTCTAACTACTTACGAAATGGGCGTATTATTTTTAAATAGTGACTCAGTAAAATAATTTCACTACCTTATTTTAGTTGTTTTTTTATTTTACTTTTCGATTACTATATGAACGTTAACTAACTTTACCATCATTTTATATAGCATGTATATTATTAGTTACTTATTCTGTCTGGTTTGAACAATCAAACAGTTCGATTTAAACGGTCATAATCTTTCAAATAATAGTTGCTTTACGGTTTAGTAATAGTTCAAGCCCAAATCACCGTCAAGTTCTTTTGCAAATCAATCCTTTAATTAAATCTTAATAACGACCAACTTTCCCACAAAAGTTGCAGGAAAAAAAAGTGGTTTCATTATAGAAAGTTACGAACTTTTATTCGATACTTATCGCTAATTAAGTTCTTGAAAGCTCCCTTTTCGCTTTAATTAGTTTTGAAAAATATGCTTATCTCTTAACTTTATTGGAATTTTAAGAACAGAAAAAGAAATGGGGTTTTTTTTTATACTTTAGCATTCAAAAGAAGGTCATTAAAAATTTAACATTACTCTTGGGAATTCGAATTTTTGATTTTAACGAAAGATGTTAATGTTTTTTTAGATGCAAGTTATTTAGATGTTCCGTTATTCAATTTCGCACAAGTTTTTGTTTTTAGCAGTTCATATATTTTAATAAGTTCAGCATATTTGAAATAAGTTTTTAATAAATTAAATCTAAAGTTTTATTAAGTTATTTTAACTTTTTTTTAGTTAATTCCACCAGGGCTAACATAATAGTTAGGTAACTCAATTGCTATCAAACTAGTTCTATCTTAATTATCATATTTCTGTGTTCTTTTTCTATGTATGCTGCATGAATTAACAATGTATTTATTTAGAACTGTTTTGTGTTTTGTTATGACTTTAAGAATGACCGAAACTTAATTCTTTTATAATTATGTTTAAAATTATAAACGAATAGATAGTTAAAATATTCTAGCTCCATCAATCAGGACTCCCATGATCTGGCGAAATAAGTGGTAGGTAAGATTTTTCAAGACTTAAGAAAAATGCTTAAATTTATCTTTCATTTGTGAATTCGAAATTATTCAAGAATTATTATTTGCACTCCTATATATTTCCTTTGAATTAAATATTCATTGATAGCTTAAGGCATCTACATATATCTCACTTTTGCTACCATTTTAAAAAAATTTCCAGACTGTGGGAACACTGATAATTTATAATTCTAAGATAAGAGTGTAATAATTAATCTTAATTTAGCTAATGTTCACCTTAGATGTGATAATTTATTAAATGCAATTAGAGTAAAATTTTGTAATTGTAATTAAACAATCGATGTGCTTTCATGACTGAACGTAACTGCCTTACAGAGATTTTTCACCAAATTGGGATGTTTCATAACCTGGCTGCCCCCTTTTATTCAATTTTATTTCAATTCTTCAATTTTAATTCTTGAACAGATCTAATGAATTGAGATCCCCATCCCCGTAAATGAACAGCATTTTTAAAGGCTGTTCCTTTTTCTTTTTTTTATTGTTTTTTTTTGTTCTATATGGACAATTGTGAACATATTAACTAATTAAGGAGTGCTTCATTTTGTTAATATTTAATAAGAGAATTTAGACCCTTTTTGGCTCAGGGAACAGAGCGTTCGCCTCTTAATGAGGTGACCGGGTTCGAATCCCAGCGATGGCTCGTCGAAACTAATTCTACACCCGGCTTGCTCCGACCACTGTGCTAATTTAAAATATCCTCAGTGGTAGACTGATCATGGGTTAGTCCCTTAGTCATCAAGTTAACCGTGGGAGGGTATTGTGGTTTTCCTCTCCATGTAACTCTAATGATGGTTAGTTCCATCAAAAAGTCCTCAGCGAAGGCTAGTTTGTCTCAATGCTTGATCCGGTAGTTCTTTTCTTTTGTCTTCTGGATTGGGTTCAAAATTACAAGGCTGCGGAGCTGAACAATGGTGGTCGTAAACTCAGAATTGAGTCTGCTGTTCAACGACGGTTGTAAAATAATATAAAATAAAATAATTAAAAGTTTTTCACCGTATTGTCATAAATAATTTTAATTTTGGTTATGTCCGACAGCTGAATTCTGGAGCTGAATCTAGTCTAGCTATGAATTAACTATACTTAAGCTGAAAATGAATAAAATAATCCGGATTATGGTTTTTGTTAAAATGGAAACTAAAAAAAACTGCTATAAACGTTTGAAAATGGTTATTTTGAAAACTATTTTTCTTTTTTAATTTAGTTCCCGTTATTTTGATTTAAAAAGCGCGATTAAAATTTTTAATTCTATTTCTTGAAAAATGCATGGCCTTTAACAATTAAATATTCTTATGAGAAAAAATTGCATTTATAAAAAAAACATTACCATTTCTTTATGTTTGGCATTTTAATGAAAATAACTTCTTCAAGGAACAATAAATAATGGATAATTAATTGGATCTTAATATAATGGCAGATTTCAATAAATGGTTTTTTTTTTTTCAAAGACAAACCATCCTAAATAAAAGGCCCAACTCTCGGAACCAAATTAACTCTTCCGTGGAAGTCCTTGTCTTTAGAAAACTTTTAGGGCAATGACTTCAAATTTCCGAGGGAAATATAAATTCTTCCCTCTCTCATTCTGAGTTTCGACACTGCAGAAAGAGCTTCAATGTAGGACTAAAACTATAGAGGTTTTGAATCTGATCCATTATTTGCGTTCTTATGTTATTCACCATTCATTCATAGCAGAAAGTAATAGCATATTTGGGCAAGAAAATGCATTCCACATTGTATAAATTATAATTACCATTTAATTTGTAATAAGCCTTTCTTAGTCTTCAAGTTTCTCCTGATTATTCATACCTGCCAACTTTCACTCTTTCCAAGAATGGATTTTTCAAGAGGTAGTGAAACAATGGGATACCTGCAAATGACATAGTGTGATTATCTCGATCCTGATTGGTTGTTGAACCGTGGCATTTGTTTACGTTGGCAACTGTTCTTTCCATTCTATTTCGAGTAAGCCAAGCCCGTCAAGTATCGAATCTCTTAAGTAAACACATTCTATATTTTTACACAAAGATTCTTTCACAAAGAGTTCGGTTCTATCACGATATATTTCTTACTTAACGCAAAGACAGGCACAAAGCCATGTAGAACATAAACAAACTAATTATACATCGAAGTTGCCAAGTACACAAAACAAAAATATATCACAGATACAATAAAATACATAAACAAATAATATATCTATGTTGAGTATAAGAAATAGACGAGAAAGCATTAGATTTCAACAAATTCGATGTGCGATACGGCGCTGTTTTTAACTTCACTTTAATTGACATTCTAAATTATGTGGAGAAACTTGAAACACGCCATTTTGCTTATAAACGATCAGCTGACGTCATACGTCACATATGTGGGTATCCGTGATTTTCTTCATCTTGAAGTGCAAGTGCACAATTACCGAAAAACAATCTTACTTAAAATTTTATTTATGCTTTGACCAGGTAAAAATTCGCTGTCGTAAAGACTATTATGCTTTGATATATTTATTGTAATTATATGTAGTGGTGATCAAACTCTGATTTATTAATATTATTATTATTGAAAAAGTTTAATGGAATAACATGAGTTTCGCTACGATTTTAAGTATGTCGGGGAAAACCAAAATGGAACTATTCGGCACTCACCGATAAGGTCTTAGAATTTACTTTCTTTTCAAAGGATTTAAATTCTTCTATGCATTATCTTTGTAAATTGCTTATAGGGAAAGATAAAATTATTATTCAAAATATTGTTTCTTATTAACTTGCAAAAAAGTTTTAAAAAATTATATGGGAATATTTTCAAAAATACGTTTATTTAGTAAAGTGTCTTTCTAAGACTGTAAAATGAATGGGTTGAGAGATTTGGAGTAATGCGTGTGTTGCATGCATGTTGGGCATCATCGCCTGCTGACATGTCCAACTGCTATAAATAGATTTTGTGGTAGAGTTAGGCAGTGAATTTTCTGAAGAATCTTAAAATCAGTCGACTGAGTAAAACAATTCGGTGAAGTATGAACTTCAAAGTAAATGCAAAAAATAAAAAATATATCTATACGCATTTTAAAAAGTGGGAATAAAAAAAAAGTTTAAAAAGTGGATTCATTTTGTTGTATAATGCACAAAATCTAATGTACAATGTGGCAAAGAAATACGGACCACCCTGAATAACTTTTGATTTCATGATGGGATGCTCACGTTCTGCGACTCAAACTTAATGACTCGAGGGGGGGACCACAAGTAAGATAATTGAGTTACGAAATTAGACGCAAAAGCGTACTTTCTCTGAATAAATATACCTTATTTTCAACGGATTCGGATTTCTGACCTCAAAATAAATTAATAAATAATATATAGATTAAATTTTGAATATAAATAAATAAAAAATTTCAAACTACTTTTTTGTATTTTATATTTTAGTACAAATTCCGATAATCTGATTTTTTTTAGTAACAGACCAAAATATAGAAAAAAATACAAAACAGACGGAAAAAAATACCAAAATATATTTTTGATTGTAATAAAAGTGTCAGAAAAAATATATAAAACGGACACCGGTGTCTCATCTCCTTCAGAGTTAAGCAAAAGATTTATTGAAGCGGAAAAAGGCTCCAATAGTTGATAATTTAGGAAAAGGAGCGGAGGAAAGTTTGGTGCTCTTAATGTTAATTTAAATTTTTTTTTCGTGCTGAATAGTATCAAAAAAATTATTTTTTTTAAAAATAATTAAATTTCTCAAGAATTTGACTGATTTATGGTTCATGTTTCCGATTTTTTTTAGTTAAAATTGCGTATTTCAAAATTTTGTAAACATTTGGTACCTTAAAATTTAAAAAATTTTCTCATTTATCAAAAATTAATTACTAAAAAAAACTATTAATATAAAAGTTATTTAATACGCTGAATTATCTTTAAATAAAAGAGTTACGATTATTTTAAAATAAACAATTGCTTTCAAAATTTTCGAGTTTTTTTTCCCAAATAGATCCAGTGATAAAGTAAAATAAGCAAAAGAGTGAAATTAATTGAAATTGCCCCACGTTTTCGACCAATCTCTTGCTGAACTATTAACATTATTTTTTCTAGATTGCGATTCCACCTCCCCTATCTATATTTTAATAATCGCAAATCCAAATCCGTTGGCGAAAAAAAAGTATATTTATGCAGAGAAGGTACGATTTTGTGTCCGATTCCGTTGCATAAAATATCTGAACAAACATTTCAAAATATTTAACATCAGTTCTTCAGAACATGAAGATTGCATTTTAGAACTTATGATTCCATACTAGTTCCATAGACAAAGTTGTTTAGATGATCGCTTTTTTTTATTTCGTTCACTTAAATATATTAGTGAATTTTCTAAACTTTAGTAACATTAAAACTTTTCAAAATAATTTACTTATTTATCGAAAATATATATTAATATTTTAAAAATATAGTGCAAAGCTTTTGTTTTTGAATAAAATGAGAACATAAACACTTGTTCCTCCCTGTTAGAAAATACAGAGAACGTTTACATTTCGTGTGAAATAAGTAGCGTGCATCTAGAAATATATTTTTAAAAATTATATAAAAATAAAATAGATGTTAATGTCATATTAAAATCAGGTGACGGAACTGATTACCACACAAAATTTGGTGTGGGTCCTCGTTAAACTGTTCTACCGTAAAGTGCTCGACTTTGCGTGCTGATCGTCAAACTACCAAAGCAGAGGAGTCATTTCCTCAGCAAAGGATCAACATTTTGATGGCTGATCTTCGAATGACTCTCAGGAATGTTTCCCAGACCGTTGCCGATAGCCCATTTTGCAGCTTTAGAGCGATTTAACCGGGTCATCAGTTACTTATCAGGAACTTTACAATGAAAAATATAGACAAAAATCAATCTGCCAAACTCCACCTGCGCACCAATGGTACACCGCAACATCACCTGGCACCCCTCTGAGAATCAATTGCGATCGAAGCTCCCAGACTGCCTTGGCCAGATTCTCAACTGGTCACCTAAAATGTCTAACATTCGAACGTGGCACAAAAATTTACCCGACTTGTAAAAAATGCTGTATCCAACCAGCCTCACCGAAACATATACTTGTGTCGGACTGTCCAGGGCGGACTTAATTTCCGATCCCCTTCTTGTCATCGACTTTCTGACTGTCGACAACTTTTTGGAGTTGATCTGACTAATGTCAGATCTGTGAGGATAAGCAACAACAACAACAGTGCGATTTAAGATAACGCCATACCACGAAGAAACTTTTCGTCACAAATTCTCTTTCACATCTATTACTAATTAAAAATTTAAAAGAAAGAAAAAGTGATTACATGCTAAGCCTAAAGTATTCCATGAAGTTTAAATTGCTGGAAAAAAAATTCTAAATATCAAAATGCAAACAAATTATTGGAAGAGAACTTTTCCATTGCGCAATCGTAAATTATTTTTTCAGAATTAATTTTCATTTTGGTATTTTGAAAATTTCTCTTCGGTATTTGAAACTTCTCTGAACTTACTTTTTCTATACTTTAAATTTGAATTAGTTATGGAGATTAAACAGAATTTGCGACGAAAAGTTTCTCCCGTGCTATGGCGTCTTCTTAAATAGAACTACTACCACACAAAATTGCACTGACGAAAAATTGTGTTAAATACGGCACAAGGAACTCAAAAATTTTAATTGTAATACGATAGCCGCGATGACTCATGGGATAGAACATTCGCCTTCCAGTGAGGTTAGCTGGGGTTCGATGGCTGGTCGATACTAATTCCGCATCCGGCTTTCACCGACCACAGTGCTGACGTGAAATATCCTCTGTGGTAGACGGATCATGGGTTAGAGTCCTTTTGCCGTCAGGCTAACCGTGGGAGGTTCTCTTGGTCTTCCTATCCGTGTAACGCAAATGCGGGTTAGTTCCATCAAAAAGTTCTCCTCGAAGGCAAAATTTCTCCCAATACAGGAGCTCCCTTGTCTTCTGGATTGGGTTCAAAATTACAAGACTACAGAGTTGAACATTAATAGTCGTTAACCCAAAAAAAATTTGGGTCGGCTGTTCAACGACGGTTATAAAATTATTATACGATAATTTTTGATACCAAAATTATGATGAAAAATTATTAACAACTAATAAAAAAAAACTAATAGAGCATTCCTAATCTACTGGAGAGAATGTTATTTTTAACACCCGACAAACGTGAAATAATACACCTTTTGAAGAGGCGGCAGGCTAAGTTTTTAATTAATAATAATAATAACAATAAAAAAAATCTAGTAGGGCACATTAAAATATCTTTTAACGTGCACTACGATATCATTTTTTTATTAAAATAACTTTTAAATACTGGAATTAAATTTTAATTAAAGTTTGCTTGACATGTTTACAAAACTTTTTAAAGTTTATAATTAAATTTTCTACTTGTTCAAATTATATATTACCCTTAACATAATGCTGAATCGAAATTGCTACAAGATTCTTTAAGTTCATTACAAACCTCTCCACCTATTAAAATTACGCTTTCAAAATTGATGAAACGAAATCTGCTTAGCCACATTTCAATCGAATTCATTTCGAATTTTCAAGTACAAAAAGATTTATTTACATTCAAAAATATTCTCCCTCTCAATTCCATCGAAGCGCGAATTTCGTTTAACTAGAATATTTAGTTTCTCTTCTGTATGTCGTGCTTCAGATTTCGTGTTAAAAAGATGAAGAGGGGCCTTGAATAGAAGTAGATACCATGTTTATCTTTTCATATGGTTGGTTGGATCCGCATCTATATAAAATGGAAACAGGAGCCCGTGGGCACTTGCGAATCTGACTTTCTCGAATATCGTTCAATTGAGATCTCTTTCACAAAAAAGCAAAGTGAAGTTTCTTTTCAAATTTATCAAGCTTTT